CCCCAAAACCCCAAAACCCCAAAACCCCTTTTGGTTAAAATCGAAGTAAGAGAGAGTGATTCAGATCTTAATATCATTTAATCTTAATAATTCTCTGACATACCTACTGACATTGAGTCTTATTAAATTATTAATTTAAAAATCAGCAATATGAGTGATTAATTAAATGGCACTCTTACTCTAAAAACTCAACCTAAGTACAAAAAGTCCAAGAAAAAAATGACATTTAAGCAGAAATGTCTGTAACTTTGCAAAAAGGAAGAGGAATTAGATATAAATAATCTTGATATAAAACAAATGCCACTTAGGTAGGTCTTATTTGACACCGCTAAGCTACCTGTCTATCCAGAAGAAAATCAAATTTATATCACGAATAAAATCAGTACAACTAAATACAATTAGTAAGATTCAATCCAGATTAAATATAATTTCTTTCAGCTTAACTTTCTTGCCTAAGAGCTTGCTAATCTAATTCAAGAGAGTGAGTAACATATATTTCTTGATATCAGCTGTATTGTGCTCGATACCAGGTTTTTCACCATTACCCTCATATTCAGCCATAAGTCCCTTAGCTTTTGTGCTTGCAATGAGTATGATGAGAGAGGCTTACGAGGATTATGTAAGATTATTACTTGAATATTAATCTAATTTATTACAGAAAAGAAGAAAGAATGATCGAATTACCAATAATAGGAGATGCAATATTCTAATAAATTCTGGTTCAGAAATCAGGAATAAGCATTATTTTGACAAAACTTACTCATTAAATTGATTATAATCAGAACCAGTAGAACACAAAAGTAGCATTAAGGACTATTTCAAAGAGAGACTCTGGTCAGATCTTAAATGTGGTGATCTTATACTAATCAAAGATGGCGAGTTATTTCCTGCTGATGCTGTCATTTTAATGTCATAAGCTGAAAATGGGGAGTGCTTTGTACAAACTTCAACACTAGATGGTGAAAGAGCACTCAAACATAAACAGTGTTTGGTACCAATCAAAAAAGCTATAGAAAAGGATGGGCTTCTAAACTTCAAAGCAAATTTCCATTGTGAGGCTCCAACAAAGAATCTATACGAATTTAACGCTTTTATGGAGAGTGAATAACTACCAGAGTATGGAACTATTCAACTAAGTTAAGGGTCAAAGAAGAGAACAATCACATTAGATAATAAATAGCTAGCTTTAAGAGGATCTAACCTTGCCAATACTTAGTGGGTTATCGCTGCAGTTATTTATACTGGCAAAGAATCAAAGTTAATGCTAAACTAAGGACTCTCAAGATACAAGTAATCAAAAATTGAAAAAGTAGTAAATGTAATTTGTATCTACCTTATAGTTATCCAAACAATCCTCTGTGTTATAATGAGTGTATATTGTGGCTTTTATACTTAGAATTATTCTGACTTGGACAATGATAGCTTAAAAAGAAAAGCTGAATACTTATTTTATACTGAACTTTCTGCGTAAACAAGAGCTAATTCTACATCAAGCGATGATGATTTAATCTATAACCCAACAATTGTTGGAATTAAAACATATGGTGCTTACTATATTCTTCTAAACACACTAATTCCTATAAGTTTAGTTGTTTCAATCGAATTTGTTAAGCTGATTTAAACACCATTCTTCAGTAATGATATTGAAATGTATGATGAAGTTTCAATGAAGTAGGCCTAACCTATGACAATGACTTTGCATGAGGAATTAGCGTCTGTCAAATACATATTTGCTGATAAAACTGGTACTTTAACATCCAATATCATGCAATTCAAGGCTTGCTCTATAGGATCAGTGTGTTATGATGAAGATTACAATGACGATGACTACGAATACATGATTGAAACTCAAAGAAATGATTAATAAGATTAGAGTAGCATTAAAGATCATTTGGAAGAAGTTATTTAAGAAGAATAAAAATATTATGACAGTTTATGCCTATCTGGGATTGAGGGAGATGGTGAAGTTAAAGCATAGGAATTTGAAAAGTATAAAGAGTCAGTAGGATACCCATTTAATAATTAAGAAGGAGAGGCATAACTGAATAGAAAGGACTCTTTGACAAAAATATTATGGAATTTTAAAGAGTCAACAAAAATCATTAAGAACCTACTTGAAACCTAAAAAAACTTTATGAACGAGGAGATCAACCTTGGAAAAAGTTAACCTGATAAAAAGCCTCTTATCATTCAAAAATAAAATGAATACTTACATTATTTCTGGTTGAATGTTGTACTCTGCCATGATGTGATCACTACTAAAAAGCCAAACGAAGAGCATTTAACATACTAAGGAACTTCTCCGGATGAGATAACTTTGCTTGATGCTGCCAAAGAGGTCGGTTACATTTTTCTAGACAGAAATTCTTAACAAATGAAGATATCTATATTTGGAGTAGAAAAGACTTATCAACTACTTTAAAAACTCGAGTTTACTAGTGATAGAAAGAAGATGACTGTAATAGTTAAAGATGAAGATAGTGGATTAGTAATTTTATTTTCTAAAGGAGCTGATTTAGCCATTTTTGATAAATTATCAGTTAAAATAGAGCAACCTTTTATGGATGCTACAAAGGAAGATCTAATAAAGTTTTCGACAAAAGGGTTTAGAACTTTATGCTTTGCCATGAGAATAATTGATGAGACTTATTTTAATTCATGGTAAGAAGCTTATGAAAATTCTAAGTTAGATATGATCAAATTAGGCATCGGTAAATTTAAAATTGAAATGCACAAAGAAAATATTTCTGATAAAATGCTAAACGAAATAGAAAGTGAATTATTTTTACTTGGAGCAACGGCTTTAGAAGATAAACTCTAGGAAGGAGTTCCTGAGGCTATCGAAGATTTTCACAATGCTGGAATTAAAGTTTGGATGCTTACAGGGGATAAATTAGAGACTGCTGAGAATATTGGGTTTTCTTCTAAAATGTTTAATGAGAAAATGTACATTTTTAAACTTTAAACTAAAACAAAACATGAAACTAGAAATAGACTCAACTAAATTGATTCCAAGATTTTAGAAATTGAAAAAACTCACAAGACTCCAATTATAGGGACCTAGTTCCTATTAAATCCAAATGCTGGATTAGATTTACCTAGAAATGCAAAGGAAGTAGCATTATAATACTAATATCATGATTAAGCTGAAGCAAGAAATATTATATAAGCATTAGAAGACTTCAAGCATGAAAGTAAAGCATCTGAGTATACTCTAAATGATTCTTGGGCTAGAAAACCAGCTCTAAGGCGTAAGGTTAGAAAGAGACTAGAAGAAATAGTGCCTGATAAAAATGCAGTAGTGAACAGACTTCTCAGAGAAAACTAATTATTTTACAAAGCTGAAGGTGACATTAGTAAATACATTCCTAAATCATTTGACATGGTGTCAAATCAATATATAATAAGAATGAGTAACGTCTATAGATCTTAGTCTTCAAACCACAAGAAATCAGAAATTACCGATAATGAAGATACTTTTGGAATACTTATAGAGGGTTAGACTCTCTAATTTTTAATAGATTCTAACAGTATGAAGAAAAAATTTTTAAAGATCTTAGGAAAATGCCAAGCCGTTATTGTTTGTAGAGCCTCTCCCAGTTAAAAGGGGCTAGTAGTATCTATGATAAAACATAATGAGCCTGACATTGTAACTCTTGCAATTGGAGATGGTGCTAATGATGTCAATATGATTCAAAAAGCTCATATTGGAATAGGAATATTCGGTAAGGAGGGTTATTAAGCAGCAGCGAATTCAGACTATGCAATAGGATAATTTAGATTCCTAAGGAGATTAATGTTTGTGCATGGAAGATGGAGTGGCATTAGACTTAGCGTGTTTATGCTATTCTTTTTCAACAAAAATATCGTCTTCACTTTGCCATAGTTTTGGTTTGGCTGGTATAATGGTTTCTCAGGCTAGACTTTCTATGATGATGCTTATCTGACTTCATTTAATACATTTGTAACCGCTCTAGCTATATGCACTTTAGCTATATGGGACCAAGATATCAATATAAGAGATGAGAAGTTTAGCAAATTGATTGAATTATTCTTTCCTTACCTATACAAGGAAGCTTAAGAGAATGATCTTTTCTCAAAGAAGAAATTCTTAGTTTGGGCAGTTATAAGCGCATCTCAATCTATTTTGGTATTTGGAGTACCTGTTTTAACTTATCAGAACCTAATCTTAAGCAGTGGGAAAATGGAAGACCTCTGGACAATAAGTATTTGCTCATATTATGGACTTGTCTTCATTCATTACTTTTTGGTTTTTACATTTACAAAGAACTGGACTCCTTGGATAGTCTTCTTTTACATTTTGTCTTACTTATTCTTTACACCATTCCTTACAGTTACTTATAATTCTTTCCCAAATACATTTCTAGAGGGCAGACTAGGAGAGATGGTTTATAATAACGTATACTTCTGGCTCATTATCCTTGTTATCACAGTCGCATGTGTGATACCTATATACTTCTACTTTAATGTTTAAGCCCTTCTATTCCCAAAATTAAAAGACTTGATCCTATAAAATAGATTAGATCAAGATTAAATTATGCGAGAACTAGACCCTGAAAGAGCTAGATAAACTCATGAGCTCTTTAAACAGAGATAGCATGCTTTGATTAGCTAGTGGAATAATGATTACAATAAATTTGAGCTGCCCAATAAGTCAATTGACCATAGCAGAATTCATGATAATAATACACCGATCAAAGTTTCGATGCTAGATTTATCTCATGAGGAGTAGAAATAAAGCATATCTATAACCAGAAATTATATAAGTGAGACTCCAGAGAGAGCTAGCAAGCTTAGAAAAGGTGTATCTAGTTCTAAGTTATTGCCAAATTTAAAAGATCATCAAACGATAAAGGAAAATTCATTCCAAAAAGGAATAAATTAATCAAAAATCATTTTTGAGCAAGCAAGAGAAGAAAGCCCCCAAAGATCTTTAAGAATAAACCACTCAGTAAGATCAGAAGACTTAGACAACCTATCTCTACGATCTTTTGACAATAGAATAAGCGTTAAAGTTTAAAATTATCTAGAGGAATATGAAGTATCCCCTCAGAGAGGAAACATTCACATCCCTTTAAGCAATGACTATAGGCAGAAGCCTTCCAAAAATAGATCTGAATTTATTTGACTATTATAATAATTCAATTTAAACAATTAATATTTACAATCCTTTGATTTGGACTATATTTCCCTTATGGGGTTTTGGGGTTTTGGGGTTTTGGGGTTTTGGGG